ACAAAATGATTAATTAAGAATTTCCAGGCATCAAAATGAAAAGCACCATGAAGTAACATTTCTTTCCTCCTGAAAGACAGTGACATAAACTTAAACGTAAGCCTCCCATTTGCTAATGGTTAAGTCACAGCTTTATGTAAGCAGGGACCTCAGTCTTTGGTCCCTTGTCTTTTTTCAACTCTTCCTGATGGAAGTGGGGGAAGCTATATTGAAGACTGAGAGGTGAAAGGAAGAACACCTGGGAAGAAGCTTAGGCCAAAGGTCTATACAGATTCATGTGACAATGTTGTCATGGAAATATGGAATAAGTAATTTTAAGGGAGAAAGAAATCAGAAACTTGGATGGCAGCTTTAGTAGGAAACTCTCATTTGAGTTCAGAGGGAACAGAAATTTAGGGAGGGAGGAGTCATTGACAGGGCTGTAAACCACATACTGTAGTTAAGGAATGATTAGACTATGTCTAACCAATATTATAAGGAACTCTGAAGGTTGGGCAATCCTACTTCTGTAGTGATAACTGCCTCGGAAACCCAAGGAGGGGTCGCTAGGAGTTGGGGCCGACTCGATGGCAAATAACAACAACAACAACTGGTGGCACAGTGCCTAAGGCACAGTGCCAGAAGTTTAGCAGTTCAAACCCACCAGCTGCTCTGCAGAAGGAGGAAGATGGGGCAATCTGCTTCCATAAAGATTTACCGCCTCAGAAACCCAATGAGGGTCACTGTGAGTCTGAATCGACTCATGGCAGGGTTTTTTTTTTTTTTTTTTTTTCCATAAAGATTTACCGCCTCAGAAACCCAATGAGGGTCACTGTGAGTCTGAATCGACTCATGGCAGGGTTTTTTTTTTTTTTTTTTTAAATCAATATTACAATGGATTATAATGATAGCAAACATTTGAGTACCTACTCTGTGTTTCCTACATAGGAGCAAGAGAGGAAGATGGCAGTGCTGTTCACATGGAGGGCTAGCTGAAGGAGAGTTTGGTGGAGGCAAATGGACCAGGGAAGTGAGAGGTAGTGAGCTCAGAAAGAAATGTTCTCTAGCTTGAGCTGGGAAGCGTTGCCCAGATGTAAGAGTGAACAAATCCATTAAATCCAAGATAAGGCGCTCTAGATCCTCTGATATATGAATTCAATGCTTTGATTTGGGGGAAAAAAAAAACTTAAACAGAAAAGAAAAAAGAGTGACGATGTGTAGAAATAAAGCAGGGGCACATGTGCCAATGGAAGCAGAAAGGAAATGGAGGTCTAAGCACCCAAGGAGGAAGAACCGACATGCTGAAGGAACGGAACATGACCTTGAGATTACTAAACATGGCAAAGAGGAATTGGTTGGGCAAAGGGGCAGAGAAGACTTTGCTCTTCCCCCTAGGCTCCTTCAAATGTCTACCAGTCCATGTCAACATTGCAGATTGTGTTCACTTACTTCATCTGATACAAATTATTGGTGCCTCTGTGGTCAATGTCATGGCAGAAAGCAGCAGCGAGCATGGCAAAGGCTTCAAGGTCTGTGAAGTACTTCTTTAGTCTTCCTGTCTAGATACATACACATTTACTTGGATTAATACACCTCCACACCACTTACAGAACTAGGCAATGCTTGTCCTGGTATACATAAGATCATTATGAGTTGCAGCCAACTTGACAGCAACTAGCAACAAGAAGACACCAAGTGCTATGAAGCCTGCCCGCAATAGAGAAGGGAACACACCTTGCTTTTAATACAGGTGGGATTCATTTCTTGTACGTATTGTAGCTCATCTGGGCAATTACAAAATCTAGCAGGTAACTGGATTCCCCTTAGGAAGGGAGGTACGTGAATGTCAGTGATAATCCAGCCAAGCCCAGAGACACCACGTTCTCCAGGACCATCTGCTTGTGCTTTATGGGAGTGTGTCAGTGATTTCCAAAATTGCTGCTCTAAATGGTGCACTATATCCATCTGGCACCATGCTCAAGTGGGAATTTTGCAGCTTTGCAATTATTTACAATGTTCTGTACCTACCATCAAGGTGCCTGGGTGGCACAAAAGGTGAAGCACTGAGCTGCTTACAGGAAGGTTGGTTTGAGTCCACCCAGAAAGATCTCGAAAGAAAGGCCTGGCAATCTTGTTCCAAAAAATCAGCCATTGAAAGCCCGATGCTACTCTGACACACAAGGTACTCTGACAGCTCGATGGTAACTGATTTAACTGGTACCTACCAGCAGCAAAGTGAACATGGTCTGCCCCACATTAAATCCATGCCGCCAGTTGTGGTATGTGACAGAGCGGTACCCTTTTCTCACGGTGTACATCCATCTCGTAAGAACCTGTGACCAAAGGAAGACACTGCCATACAGACTTTGGAATAGAATTCTAAAGGTTAGAAGATCCGTGACAATCTTATCTGAAAAGATATGTTGGCCTTGTTTACAGGGTTTCAGCTGATAGGTTTACAAAGTTAATAATAATTGAAAATCCAAACTGAAGTTACTCTTTGAACCACAGAAAATACTTATCAAGTACAGCAGCAGAAGCACACAGTATTTTAAGTTAATTAGAAACACCATCTGACCTCTACGGGCACTTTAAATTTCTCCACCACATTTATTTCGAAGAATAGTCGTAGTCCACACTGAATCAATCCATGCTCAGTAATGGGCAGGTCACTAAAGTGGAATTCATATAGTTCTACTTTCTTTGGGTCTGGCAAGTCCTCTTTCTGTTGAAAGCAAGGATGGATTGTTATTCACCTTTTTATTCCTTTGTGTGCACATACCCAAAAATCTAGTGTAAAACAAAATTACAATGAAAAAAAGTCTACACATAATTTACTAGCCCCTAAGTGCCAAGCCCTGGGTTGTGTGCTTTACATATATCATCCTCCCAACAAACCTGAAAATTAGCTCCATTTTATGTGAGCTGCTGTATGGAAGATGAATTGGCTCTGTAAACTCTCTCCATTTTAGAGATGATGAAACTGAGATTCTGCTCTATTAAGAATCTAAGTGATGAGATTCAATCCCAAATTCAACTCCACTGGCTATTGTCATTCTATGACGCCAAATAAAATGTTTACAGTATCAGCACCCTTACAAACTCTTCAATATTCGACTTCTCATGTTTCTTATTCCAGAAATATTCAGTAAATGGTCTTTTCTGAGTACATACCATATCCTTAACACTGTGCTGAAGAGGATACAAAAATAGAGGATAGTTCACTTCCCTCACTGCCTATTATGGTACCTACTATGTGTTCCAGACATTGTATATAAAGCAATGAATAAAATAGACATAGTCACTGGCCCCTGAAACTTTCATTCTCCTGGGGAGAGACAGATAACAAGAATGTATCTTAAGATTAAGATCCTATTGCCATGGAGTCCATTCTGATAAAAGTCAGGGTAGAGTGTAAGAGAGTTGAGCTCCATGTCGCACAGCCTCTCGGCTGGAGGCTCTCTCAGACCCACAGTTCTCAGAGTGTTGTGTGAAGATATAATATGAAAATGCTTTTTAGTACCATACAGATCTGCAGGATCAGTCACACTGAAATGTTACTGTGCCTTTTTAACAGAAAATAAAGAAGCTCTCGGAGTGATAGCTCCCAGTCCACATTTGCTATCACAGGTGAACAAATAAAATTATACTCTAAAACAGAGTTAAGGAGCCCTGGTGGCAAAGTGGTTAAGAGCACAGCTGCTAACTGGAAGGCTGGCAGTTCGAACCCACCCAGTTGCTCTGGGAGAAAGACTTGGTAATCAGTTTCTGTAAAGATTCCAGCCGAGAAAATCCTATGGAACAGTTCTACTTTGTCACAGGGGGTCGCTGAGTCAGAATTGACTTGACAGCACCCAACAAAATAAGTCTGTGATAGAGAGGTTGATAAAAATACAGGCTTTTCACTGGTGCAGTGAGTAGGAATCCCAGATTCCCAAGCTGCAAGAGTCACACAGTGGTGGCAACAGAGCGCTGAAGGAAGCTTTCGCCGGCTGCCACCTCACTTGGCTACAAAGTGGCCCCACTCCGGGCCTCCTCCTTCCTATCTCTCTCCTCCAGCTGCCTGATGTCCAAAGTGACATTGGATCAAGTCATTTTCCAGCTCCTTTCTTGTAACCCCATCATGGTTCCGTCCCACCTCCATGTCAGCCTCATCAGCCATATCTTTCCTCTGCCCACTGATGCTCCAGCCGCACCTAGCTGCCTTGGGTGCCCCTAAGACAACGCGCTGTCTTGTGTCTCCATTCCTTGCTCTGTACTGTTTTTAAATTTTGTCCCAAGGTGTCCTTGCCCACCCTTCCCAATCTCTAACCACCATCTCTATGCGCCTCCCCGACCCCCCCAATCATCAGTCTCTGCCTGGCAAACTCTTGCTCCCCTTCAAGCCTCAGTGCCATGGAGATCACCTCTGGGATGGTCTCATCTTCTAGGAGAAGAACAAAGAGAACAACAATGTCACCTGACATTCTGCAGTGTGACTCTGGGCTTCAAAAACAGTTTATTCCACTACCCCCTCTGTTGAGAATTTCCATTTCCACCCCAGATACACTGAATCAGATTCATATTTTAACAAGATTCTTATGTACCTGGGGATCTTGTTAGAATGTGTATTCTGATTCAGTACATCTGGGGTGGAAATGAAAATTCTCCAGAGGAGGTTCACCCCAATGAACTGGTTCAAAGCCCTGCTGAAAACACACCTATGCAGGGCAGTATCCGTGCTCGTATATTTGTCTCCCTAATAAACTGGGGCTTCTTGAACCAGATGAGAATCACATCATAACATCATAATATACTTTGTCTTCAACACCCTAACACCATTCCTTCTAAAGCCAGTTGCCATTGATGATGATTCCAACTCATGGCAAATCCATACACGTTACAGTACAACTGTGCTCCTCTGGGCTGCTTTTTCAGGGGTAGCTCACCAGACTTTCCTGTGGGTGGATTCAAACCCTAATGTTTCCGTAAGCCACTGAGGGGGCTGATTGTTTGCACCGCCCAGGGACGCCTGTATTACAACTTATTGTCACAGAGTCAATTTTGACTCCTGGTGGCTCCGTGTGTTAGAGTAGAACTGCCTCATACGACTTCCTTGGTTGTGATCTTCACTGAAGCAGATCTCCAGGCCTCTCTTCTGCACCACTGGCTGGGTTTGAATCACAACCTTTAGGCTGACAGAGGAGCACAAAACATTTGCACTGCTCAAGACTTTCCCATATAGTATATCTCAATAATTATTATAGCATGCCTCATAATTACTGCATGAAAGAAAAGCAAAATGAATAAAGGCTGAGTGGATGAGATATTTCTTAGGGAAGCCCCTCCCAAATCTAGAGTAAATGTTAGTTGTGGGACATCTACGAGGGACTTGAGATATTCCAGCAGGCAGGAGAACTGTAGAAGGAACACTTTCTTCACCCCTTTTGCCTAAGTCAGTGCATTGATACCCTACTCCTCCCAACACAGACAGGTGCCTGTTGCTACACCTATAAAGAGAGGACCAGGTCTTCCCTGTACCTGGGTTAAAGTACACATTTGGAGAAAAAATGCATGATAAGTGGAGATGGACAAATAATTATGTAGCTGGGAAATTATGTCAAGATAATTTTGGAGAATGCCTCTGAAATATTTGTGTTTGGAGTTTTTGTTTTTTGTTTCTTTGAATTTCTATAGTTTTTATGCAGTAATGATTTGGAATTAGCCCAGAGGAGACTTTGCATTCATAAAGTCTGTTTTGGTAAAGACCTACTGGTCCTCTGCCCATTTTATTGCTTCTCAATGTAAGATCTTTCTTCTTCCAAATAGGGAACTAGAGAATTTCTAAAGTGGCATGGGTGTCAACTGAAGTTTTGTTGTTTTATAATAACATGTATATTGAGGGCATTGAGGAGAAGGAAGGACATTCTTCTGAGCCAGGTGTGACAGGATGGTGCCAAGAGATGGGGCCAAGGAGACCAGGCAGAGAGAGAGCCTCAGATGACATGGAAACATATAGGGTGGGAATACAAACCCCGAAAAGGAGTCAAAGCCTGATGGTCCTATGATGGCAGAGCCAAGGGCCAGGAGGGAGCAGCAGAGACCATAAAGGCAGTGAAATGGGGAAGAGGAGGTGAGAATACCAGTGTGTTCTAGTTTAGAGAGAAGAGCGCTTACATTAAAGATCGGAAAGGGCAGTGCAAAACCGGAAGAGGCAGGCAGTGAGAGAAATAAACATGGAACTATTTCAATTTCACTCAGATGGAATTCAAGCTCCTCTTAGTAACAGTAGAAAAGAGCTGAATTGCTCAAACTCCAGAAGCTAGAGATGGCAGACACTCATGCCTAGAAGGGCCTATGTACGACTATAAGATGGCTGTGTCCTCTCAGATGACCATGTTGCAATTCAAAGCTATTGAAATAAACCAGGCCATGATATCCTATAGTCTGTGCCTGAAACTCCTTATGTAGTAGTCAAATGTAGATCTGATTCTCTGTTATCTTTGTGAACTGGACTATAACCGACCAAGGGGAAGAAAAGCAGGGAACTAGTAGGTCAGTCTTTGGGAGAAATTTTCTTTCTTTTAGCTCTAAAGGTCTCAGAGAAGAGGAAACCTAACATTTATTTAAAAACAGAGACAGCGTGTCCTAATACATTTCATTAAAAAGGCACTAAAGATAGATAGGAAATACTTACTAAAATTGCCACAAGTTGTTTTTCTTCACAGTCTTCAATTACATCTATATTTAACTTCTCTTTAAATTTCTAAAATGTGAAAGCAATTGAAGTATGAAATTCCTATGAAGTGAGAAGATTTTTATTTGATTACTCTATTAAAAGCAAGTAAAATACACTTAAAAATATGTTATAATGAATCCTATAACAGATGTATTTTTAGCTTCAGAGGTCTATAGCACCTGATTATGAAAAATTTTATACAAGAAATTATATAATTGATTTCTTCATCTCCCCAAAATATAGCAGTAGCTATCTTAAAAAAAGAAAAAAAGAGAAGAAGAAAGAAAGAGGTGTGGGCTGTTTGTATATAGGTGTTATGGACTGAAATGTGTCCCCCCCAAAATGTATGTTGAATCCTAAGCCTTGTACCTGTAAATGTGACCTTGGAAATAAGGTCTTTCTTTGAAAATGGTTTCAGTTAAATTAACGAGGTTATACTTGAGTAGGGTGGCTCCTAATTCCTTCTGAGTCGTGTTTTTTTTTTTTTTTTAAAGGGGACAACAGACAAGAAAAGACATACACGCACACACACATACACACACACATGGGAGGAAGACATGCCATGTGATGACACATCCAAGGAATGCCAAGGAACTCCTGGGGCTGCCTGGACTACCAGAAACCAGAAGAGACAGGAAGGAGCTTCTCTAGAGCAGCCTGGGATGGCCCTGCTGATGCCCCAAGCTGAACACTGCCTAGCCCCCAGAACTGAGACAATAATTTTCTGTCCTTCAAAGCCACCTACTTCATCATATTTTGTTACAGCAGCCCTGAGAATCTAAGACAGGAAGGGAAGAAGGAAGGTGGGAGAGAGAAAGGGTGGAAGGAAAATGAGCAGCTTACTTTTGTTTTTCTACTAGTTTATAGGAATTCCCCTTCACCTCCCTAGACATTCCTCTCTTCAACATCTCAAACTCTTAAATCAACCTTCTCTTAATTCCCAAACACCTAGCAAAACCACACCTACACACACACTCTAAAAACTAGGAAAATAATAGAATGCAGGTAGTGGGTGTATGATATTTCCCTTTCATTTCATGGTAATTAAAATCTTGTTATCAAATATCAACTCACTTCCCCATCATCCAAGATGTTGGTCTTGGCCATGTGACTTGCTGTGACAAATAAAAATGTTAATTAGTGTAATGTGAGCACTTTGCTTGTTCTCTTGCCCTTCTTCATTACGTGAGAAGAACATCAGTCAGACAGCTACTGGTCCAAGGAGGATGAAAGACACATACGGCACATCTAGGTTCAAGTCACAACTTGGAGCCAGGCCCAGCCAAGATCCATCAAAGCCTGGTCAACCCACAAATGAACGAGTGAGGAACAGATGCTTATGTACACTCCTGAGATGTACGGTTGTTGTTACGCAGCATAATTATGGCAACAGTTCACTGATATTTTTCTCTTCCTGAAAATTTTTTTCCTTGCTAACTCACTTGAACCTAAGTGTCACTACTTTGGCTCCTATGGATTCAGGAGCTGTTAAAACAAAGCAGTTTGGAAGTCTGGTAAGAGTGGGTGCATGTGGGGCCACCCAGGCCCTTCCCCAAGTCCACCTTCTCTGTGAAGAGGAGCCATAGCCCATGACTAAACCTATTGCTTCTCATTTATCAGACCCCTGGGTAAACAGGTGAATTCTGGAAGCACTGGTTAGATACCACTTAATGTCTACAGCACTGAATTTCCCACTTACCAATATAGACGTAATTTCATTAGGAGTGGCTTTGGTCTGGTTCATGAGCATTTCCTGAGCAATGTCTTTTCTGTTTTCTAGTTTATTCATTTTCTCATAGGTGTCAGTATTTAAAAGAGACCATCCAAGAAACTGTGTGAGAGTCTGAAATGGAAAAGAGGTGGTTCAGATTCTATAAAATTAACTGAAAATTGATTTGGAGGCCAACACCTGCAAACATCCCTACAAATCAGTCTCCCTTCCACTATCAACAACCCAGTAAACCAAAAATCCCATTGCCATCCTACTCCTAGAGACCCTATAGGACAGACTAGAACTTCCCCATAGGCTATCCAAGGCTGTAAGTCTTTATCATAGCAGACTACCACATCTCTCTCCCATCAAGTGACTGGTGGGTATAGAACCATTGGCCTTTGGGTTAGTGGCCAAGAGCTTAATCACTGTGTTATCAGGACTCCTTTAACAACCCAGTACCATGTTTTAAGCTAAGGTATGACCTGAAATCTCACCCTTAGACCTTAATTACTGTAATTTAAGACTTAGACCCTTGTTTTTATGTAAATAATCTCAGGTGGAGTAAATTTTTATCAACCATTTCCACCTTGGTGTGAGTATAGAACCCAGAACAGGTTTAGGAAGGGAGCTATAATAAAAGATTTGGGAAGCTGGAGGCACTAGGGAAGCAACGTGGCCAAAGAGTGACTAGGAGGAGAATTATGAAAACTAAATGCACAGTTAATAATTTTTCCTACTCGTATACATTGAAGGTTACTTAGTTAAGATTTCTGAAAATCATATGAAAGTTGCCATTCAGCTGACTCCAACTCATGGCAATCCCATGTGTGTCAGAGTAGAACTGGGCTCCACAGCATTTTCAGTGGCTCATTTTTAGAAGTAGATCCCAGGCCTTTCTTCCAAGGTGCCTCTGGATGGACTTGAGCTCCTATCTTGGGCTCGCAGCCAAGCACATTAACCATTTGTGCCATCTAAGGACTCCTCTGAAAAGCACACTAAGATTTTAGTTGACGTTTGGTTTCCTTTCCTGGCTAGTTCGGGATATAAGATTTGGGTCCACATCTGTTTGTCACTCATTCACCATGATTATTTTATTCTCACTGCCATCAAGCTGATTCAGACTCACAACGACCCTACAGGACAGAGTAGAACTACCCCAAGTCTGTTTCCAAGAATATAAATGTTTACGGAAGCAGCCTCATCCTTTTCTATCAAAGCAGCTGGTGGGTTCAAACCACTGACCTTTTGGTTAGCAGCTGATTGCTTTAACCATTGCCGCTCCTAACCAGAGCTCCTGGATACTTTATTAAAGGAGAGAATTACCTACCTCTGGGAAAATAAAGCAGGGCCTGAAAATCAGACGGAGGGGAGGAGTGAGAGCAAGAATGAGAGGAACAGAAGGAGGAAGGAGGAAATGAGAACTGAAGGGATTGACATCTCTCCCAATTTCCTAGTATAATAAAGACTTTTGGTTAAGTCAAAATTTTCCACTTTGGTGGAGAAGTTTGCACTTTATAGAAGTCAGAAAACAGAAATGACACAATGGCATTGCATTGATTGCAACCATGTGTGACTCATTTCTTAATTGGCCTCCAAAACTATTATTCCAGAATAACAAAATAATTATGCATCTCTGTTGTTTCATGAATTTAATTCACCTCCATTATTTTATTATCGCACTTACCTCAGTAATGTGTTCATCATATTCGTCAAAAGGTTTTCCATCCTTCCTGTTGTAAAATGTAACTACTCCTACAATGTCTTCTTTCTTGTTGACAATAGGAAGGGACAGGACGTTTTTAATGACCCAACCAGTTTCATCTACAGGTCCTTTCTGCAAATGATAATGCCATTTAGCTTATTTTTGTAACTTATATTTTGAAATCATTATTGATTGACGGGATGTTGCAAAAAAAAAAAATTGTACAGCAAGATCCCTTGTAGCCTTCACCCAATTTTCTCCAGTGGTCACACCTTATGTAACTACAGTACAATATCAAACCCAGGTAGGATGGCTAAGATAAAAAATATATATAGAAAATGACAAATGTTGGTGAGGAAATTGGAACCCTTATCCCATTGCTGGTGGGAAAGCAGAATGGTACAGCCATTAAGGAAAGTAGTGTGGTGGTTCCTACATGACCCGGCAATTCCATTCCTGGGTATACACCCAGAAGATTTGAAAGCAGAGAGTCAAACAGAGACTTGTACACCAGTGTTCATTGCAGTACTATTCACAATGCCCAAAAGGTGGAAACGACCTAAATGCCCATCAACAGATGAATGGATAAACAAATTGTGATACATACATACAGTTGAATAGGATTCAGCCAGTAAAAGGAAGGAAGTCTTGATACATGCTTCAGTATGGATGGAGCTTGAATACATTACACTAAATAAAATAAGTCAGTCACAGAAGAACAAATATTGCGTGATGTCACTTGTGTAAAAAGACAAGAAAACCTAATGTGTAGAGACCAAAATTTATTAGTGGTGACCAGGGGTGGAAGGAAGGGAGGAAAGAAAAGGTTAATAGTGATGGAAAAATCACATTAAGGGTTGAGTTGCACAGTTGATTATTGTAATTGTTGTCAATAGTTATATACCTGTAAAAAGTTGAACTGGCAAAACTTGTATGATAGATATATTTGCAACAATGACACACAAAAAACTGCTGAGGCTGCTTTTGTACAATCAAAAACCTCATGGAATTTGGTTGCTTGATTGGGAGGTTGAGGGTAATAGTTTCATGGGATATCACAGTTAATTGGCCTAATAGTTTGTTTAGTGCTTCTGTTCTACCTCCTAGTTTGTTACATAGTGCCCGGGGCCCTAAAAGTGGACACCCAAGGGACAAGAATTGCTTTCTATTTTCCTAGAGCAACAGAGGAAGAAGGAGAGTTGGGAATGGGAGAAGAATATTGAATGTGTGACTAATGGCCTCCATGAATAATGGCCTTCTTTGTCATGAGACTAGGATAACTGGATAGTGCCCAGCTACTATTATTGAATGTTTTTTATCAAAGATTCTATTAAAGAATCCTGATCAAAAGGGAGGAAATGTAGAACATAATTTTAAATTTTCATAGACTCCAAACTTTCTAGAGCCAAGACGTTGTATAAACCCCCAAAACTATTGCCCTGAACCAAAAATATCTCCTGAAGTCTTCTCAAAACCAAACAACATTTTAGCTTAACTCTTGAGCATTATGCTCTTTTAAGAACTATCGATATGGGATCAAAAGAGCTTTGATCATGCAGTGCTAACCACAAAAAGTCATCGGTTTGAATCCACCCGCTGCTCTGTGGGAAAAAGACGAGGCAATCTGCTTCCATAATGATTTGCAGCCTTGGAAACCATATGGAGCAGCTCTACTCTGTCCTATAAAATTGGTGTGAGTTGGAATTGACTTGATGGCAGTGGGTTTGTTTTTGGTTATATGGGATTAAAGTGACAACAGCAACTGGAAAGATTAGAGAGGAACCTTAGAGGGCAGTGAGGTTATGTTTTGGGGGAGGAACAACACAGAAAAGGAGATGAGGATGGTCATGTAGCTCAAATAATGTGATCAGGGTCACTGAGTTGTATGTGTAGAAACAGTTGAATTGGTACATCTTCTGCTGTGTATATTATAAACACAGCAACAAAATAATTTTTTTAGAAAATCACAACCAGAATACTGACATTGGTACAATTCACAGACCTCAGTCAGATTCCACAAGGTTTGTAAGCACTTGAGAAATGAAACAATGTATTGCATCAGGCAAATCTTCTGCAAAAGACCTCTTTAAAATTTTAAAAAGCAAAGATACCACTTTCATGACTAAGATGCACTGACCCAAACCATGGTCTTCTCAATTGCCTAATATGCATGCAGAAGCTGGAAAGTGAAAAAAGACAGAAGAAAATTGGTGCAAGTGAATTGTGGCGTTGGTGAAAAATATTGAGTAGACCATGGACTACGAGAAGAATGAACAAATCTGGTTGTTGAAGAAATACAACCCCCAGAATGCCCCTTAGAAACGAGGATTGTGATTCTTCAGCTTGCTTGTTTTGGACATACCAATAGGAAAGACCAAACGCTAGATAAAGAAAGCCATCATGTTTGGTAAAGTAGAGGGTCAGTGAAAATGAGGGGAACAATTAAAGAGATGGATTGATATGCAATAATCCAAACAGTGGAATCAGACATTCCAGCAATCATGAAGATCTTGCAGGACCTGGCTATGTTTTGTTCTTGTACACATAAGATTGCATGAGTTGGAGCCAACTTGATGACAACTAACAACAGCATATGCACTTGTGAGTGTGTTGTTCTATACAAATTTATCACATGTGTAAATTTTGTTCAACCACCACTGGAATAAAGATACGGAACTATTCAACAACATAAGGCTCCTTTATGCTGCCTCTGTCTAACCACCTCCACTTGGGTTATTTTTTTTATTTAAAGAAGGGATAAACTTTGATTGTTAAAATGGACAAAGCTCATTTTGTGTCAGAAGATCATGGCTAGGACTATACAGCCATGATAAGTCTTCCTATACATCCAATCAGATGTGCTTGAACCAAGAGTCTAGGTTCTGCCAGCCTAACTTCTCTTTGTTCCTCTAGCTCTAGGGGTGAGAAGTGCTTCCTGCAGTTCTTACCTCTGTGTTAGCTCAGTGTCGCCTATCAGTGGCATCATTAGAGAGATATAGTGTGTGTGTGTGTGTGTGTGTGAGGGGTGCATATTGCACACCCTGACATTGTTAGAGAGAATTACATCAAAATGGCCCCAGCTTCTATGGCTGTGGGCAGGCTAGCACTGCAGGAGGAGGGGCCATGAAGGCAGTGGTGTCACTAGGGTTGTTGTCACATGTCATCAAGTGCAGTAACCCATCACCACCACCCCCCATACCCTCAATCCCCCTCCACCCATTCATTGGCCAGTCAGGGTGCAAGTGGGCCATGGTGCCCTCTATTGGCCAGAGAGGAGGATCTCCACCTTGGCATACAACAGGTGCTCAGGAAACAATTGCTTATTAGTTAAAGACCTAGTCCTTATGCTTGGAATGAAAAGCAGGAAAACAAATGTCAATTTAACATTGTTGTAATGTTTAAAGCAGAGTTCTTGGGTGGTGCCAACAGTTAACACATTCAGCTACTAACCCAATTGTTGCAAGTTTGAGACCATCCAGAGGCATCTCAGAAGAATGACCTGGTGACTACTTCTGAAATATCAATGAATGAAAATTCTATGAACCACAGCTCTACTTTGGCACACCATGGACACCACTCAGCAACTCGTTTGGGTTAATAGTCAAAGCTTAGGAAAAGATACAGTGCATGGTGGTTCTCAAAGGCATCCAGGAATCTTGATTATCCTTGGAAATACTGTGAAATATGTATGTACTTAATACTATCATATGTACCAGGGATATAAGCAATAGCATGAATTAGATTATCGTACATCTATGCAAAATAAGTTTACAACCACAAGCACCGATGTATAGTCTAACAAGCTTCCAAAGTAAGATCTCCTGACTGCTTCTCAGTTTTTCAGGTAACATTCATTTGCTACACATTCATGTGTTTTGCCATTAGTTAGAGTTTGTTGACACATCAGTGATAGAAAGACCTAAGAGTTAAAAATTAATAGAAAAGAAGCTTAAGGCCAAGACAATTCTATGTATTTATTTTCTCTTGCAAATTGGAATCACCTCAATTGATGTTAAAGGAAGGGTCTAATTCTTTAGTTTACTTCAAGTGATGCTGTGCAAGACGGAAGAATGGCCCCCAAAGATGTCTTCATCCTAATCCCTGGACCTATGAATATGTGACTTTATAAGGCAAAGGGGAATTAAAATAGCAGATGGAATTAAGGTTGCTAACTAGTTGACCTTAAGAGAGAGAAAACAGCTGGGTTTTCCAGGCGGGTCCAGTCCTGAGAGGTGGAAAAGAGAGTCAGAGTCAAAGAACAGATAATAATGACAGAAGCAAGATCAGAGTAATGTGATTGTTGGCTTTGAGGATGGAAGGGGTCCTGACTTCTAGAGGTTGGAAAAGGCAAGGAGATGGATTCTCCCCTGTTGTTGTTGTTATATGCCGTCAAGTCGGCCCCGACTCATAGCGACCCCTCCTTGGGTTTCCAAGGCAGTATCACTACGGAAATAGGATTGCCCAACCTTCCTTCCGAGGAGTGGCTGGTGGGTTTGAACCGCCAGCCGTCTGGTTAGCAGGGAAGTGTCTTAGCCACTATGCTACCAGAGCTTCCGAAAAGGAACACTGCCCTCCTGAAACCTTGATTTTAGCACAAAGAGACCCATTTTGGTCATTCCAAAGCAAACTTTCTGACTTCCAGAACTATAGGATTTCTGTTATGTTAAGACACTAAGCTTGTGGTCATTTGTTATTGTAGCAATAGGATACTAATACAAACACCATGTCCCCGAGGAATATAGCTTGAGAACCACTTTAGTTGCAGCTTTGCTCCCTTTAACAGTAGCTCACTTTGGCTCATTGGCTTTTCCATCAAACTTCTCAGGTGCAAAAGGAAATAGCGAGACCAAGGGTGGTGCATGAGCAGATAGAGACAGACAAGGAAGGCGGAGCACTGAAGGAAGGTGGTGGATTGGAGAGGACGGTTGTCCTGAACTGAGTTTGCTCTGTGCAATGATGGACAGAGCAACGCCTGTGAGGGGCAATGAGCAGGCAGCCTGAGGAGGCTGACAGACCACAACGCAGCTTGAGGAGAAAGGAAGAGATAGAAGTATTTTAGACTACAATGCAGTTATGGAGAATTTGCAGGTCTATTTGGGATTCTAGGGCCTTTCAGAGGAGCACAGGAGTCTCCCAAGAATGGCCCTGCCTTAGTGTCCCTGCTGTGCCCAGGCATGGGTTAGGAAGTGTGGCCTCAGTGCCAACATGGCAGTGGGTTTCAGAGTGCAGCAGTCATTGGACAAATGTGCTTCTCGTAGATGGAGATCTGAGGAGAATGTTTTCTTTTCTTTTTTTTATTGTGACTTGGGTGAAAATTTACAGAGCAAATTCACTTTTCATACAGCAGTTCACATACACTTTGTCTCATGACATTGACCACAATTCACCACAATGCAACAACTCCCCTCCCACTTCCTCTTGATAATTACCTCTTCCCTATGGCCATCTCTCCATGCCTTCCTGCCCCCTGAGCTGTCTCCCTGTGCATAAGCAGCCCTTCTTTCTCCCATGATTGTTCTCTCCAAGGAGTGTATCTACCTCAGGTACATGTTCAACTCCTATGCCTGTCTTTTGCTTGGCGGGAAGCCACAGGTATGGGTTCAGTCTGAGGAGAGTATTTTCATGGGCACCACACTGATGCTCCTTAGAGAGCTGAGAAATTCCTAAGAACTGAAGGTTTACCTCACAACGAAGTTCCCAGCCTCCTCTCTGCCAGGGTGATCAGGGCACTGTGGGAGCCACAATGTGACCCCAAAGAAAGCAGGACCCCCTCAAACCTCAAAGAGCAGTACTAGTTTCTCCTGGGCTATCTCCACTCCCACTTCCTATTTAGGCAACGACTCCTTCAGGTTCAGATCCTTTAGAAAGTCAATGCCTCCTTTTTCCCACCTATGCATTCTTCCATGGCACCCAATTGCCTTAAATATACAGGTGAGGGCTGGATATAGTTATGGTCACAAGTAGGCTTTGGCCACAATAGGAAGGAGTAAGAGCAAATGCAACCATATGGTGTTTGCATGTTTTCCATGTCTGTGAGCACAGGAAGGAGCAGATAAAGCTGAGGAAAACCTTCCATGTAACTAAGCATGTACAGGTTTCCTCAAGGCCTGGTTTGGCTCTGCCTTCTATCGAGGCATATATGGGGCTCTGTGTGTGTGTCTGTGTGAGAGCAGGGAGACAGACATGAGTGATTCTGCCTTGGGAGGGCAGCCTCAGATCTGTCAGCTGGCAGTGTGATTCCTGGATAGGATTAGGGCTTGAACTGGAAGTTTGCTAAACACGGAACATAGAACAAATAAAAGAAAGCAGAAAAGAAGAGGCTTTGGAGCCATAATCGAATTTGTTTGTTTTTTCCCAACAGTCTGACAGGGGAGGAGGTCTGAAATGACAGACTTGCCCTTGGGGTGGACTAGGTGAACTTGGGGAGGGGAAGTATGAGTCCCCAAGTCCTATAATCAGGTCCAAGGAGAAAGTCATGGAGGTGGAGAGAAGTGCGCCAGCTAGGCAAGGGAATCCCAGAGTGCTGGCTCCAGGGCTCACCCGATGGTGAGGGGAGGTGGACTCTCTAGAAAGTGCCTCTGGAGTGTTGGAAAAGGAAGACTAAAATTGAGAGTCTAGCAACAGGAGAGGCCTCAAAAACCAGTGGGAATTATTTTCCTGAGAATTACAGTACTGTGGGAAATGGCTGCTGAGGAAACCATCAAGAGGGCTGACTTCAGGATGTAGAATGTGTCCAAGCCAATCATTCATGCAAAGAACACTCACTGGTTTTGCTACTAGATGACCAGGAATGAGAGAGAATGGAGAAATAGCTGCCCCCATGGCAGGGTGACCAACACCGTCTTCTTTCTTTTCCCTCTCCTTTTCCTTCTTCCACTTCTCTTCCGTTCACTGAAGGATCAGCTACATGGTAGCCACAGTCCAGCTGGTGTGAGTGAGACATAAGCCGCATGTGTACCTCCTGGCCATACCTGAACACAAGCCTAGCTCAGGATGAAAGGGAGAGCCCCTACAGTGCTGCACCTCAGCGAGGTGAGGACTGGAAAGGGAGTAGTTACCTGAAATGTGAAGTATTCGTCCGCCGGGGCATTCAACATGTTACATATCTGCAAAGCAAGAGACAAAAGTCCTTCTGGAACACCTTGTGGTGAAGCCAAAAAGCAGAATAAAAAAGAACTGGGGAGGGGGGCAGTTCTTGCATAGCTCTTGACTGCTAGCAGGCAAATTATTCACCCTGGACCAACTTTGCTAACAATTCATTGCAGTTAGCTTCTCTTCTGCTATTTGATTCATTGGGTGACGTTGAACAGAATCTCTACTCTGTCCTATTCTCCCAGCTTCTAAGAGTTCCCCTTTGAAGTTCAAAGCAATTAGCTGTTCCTCCAAGGAGAAGAGCAGTCTGAGCAGAAAAACTTCTGCTGGGGGCAAGTGGGAATGTTTATTTTTTTTGTTTGTTTTTCAGTCTGATGTGGAATGTAGGTTAGAAGGAGTTAGCTAAGGAGCAGAAGGAAAAGAGCTACAGTCTTTTAGTTACACCAACATATAGACTCACTGCGAAACATCATTTTAAGTACTAGAATTCAGAGTTTATCACTCAACATCTATAAGGACAAGAAAGTATAACTTTTTTTTTAAAAATCATTTTGAAGTATCTGAACTTCTGATCATATCCACAAATGGGTCTTAAGAAAAGACTGCATCTTCTTACCATTGACACTATATCCACCACCACCCACTGTCATTGAGTCAATTACTCATTGTGACCCTATAGGACAGAGTGGAACTGCCCCAGAGGGTTCCTAAGGCTATAAATCTTTATGGAAGCAGACTGCCTCATCTTTTGCCCAAGGAGCGGCTGGGGCTTCAAACTACGAACCTTAAGGTTAGCAGCCAAATGCCTTAACCACTTCCCCACTAGAGCTCCTTCAACATTATTTAAGATACTTAAAATCACAGCATTTTAAAGCTGGAAAAGACTTCAGAAATTAAGTTCAAGCTTTTCCTTTTAAAGAAAGGAAGCCCATAGCAGTTAAAAGATTTGTTCAAATTCATAGGATAAAACTAGAAATCAGGTTTCCAGTTAGGATACTGTAAATCAGCCTTCCTGTGGAAAGTCCTGATTTGTAGCATTTGTCAATTTCTATGGTGCAAATATTCCCACTATGGACAATTTCAAGCTGCCAATCATTTAACAACTTGCTCACAACATTCCTGAATATTTAATCTTGTGAGTAGTTACAAGTGGGCTCTCATACACCGTGTGAAGGCTACAGGCTTCATCAGTTGGACTAAGTGATCTTCCTTGAATGGTTCTCCAAGACATCTACCCAACAAAAGAAGCAGTGCCAACGCTTTGTACCTAAAAAGAAAGATCTTCAGTTTAAATAAATAATAATAATAATAAAAAAAGCTGGAGTTTACTTGTTTAATGGGAACTCTTGTACACGTGTTTCCAAGTCCAGTGAGACCTAATGGGTCTCACCAACAAGGACTTCGGGCAAGGTCACACTAATACGTGCCATTCCTCTCTATAAAAAAGAGTCCATGAGAAAACTGCTATCAAGGGAGAAGTTTTAAAAGTTAAAAGGCAGTGTTTTCAAATAGTTTAGGGGAGCATCATATATATATATATATATATATATATATATATATATACACACACACACATACATATACATATATACAAACAATTTCTAATAACGTTGTAGATTTATTATGCAGAAAATAGCTTTTAAACATTTTTGAAGGCTTCATTTCTTAAATAATTAAGCCAACAAACTCATTTTACCGATGAGAAAATTAAAACTCTGAGAGGTCGAGGGATTTGCCCAGGGGTGAGTTACTCAATAAACAAGGTAAGCATGGCTTTACTTGTGCTTCTTTACTAATCTGAAGGAATGTGGTGGAAAATATGTGGAACTATTCCTTACAGATTAGAAAGTCAGCCCATGCTTGCTTGCCTCGCTTACTGGGTACTCTGTTTCAGTCTGGGACTGTAAATTTTAAAAAAGGCTTTGATTCTGTAGGTGCTGTGGGGTTGGGAGAAAGACAAATGCCAGCCATACCAAGAAGCAGAATCTTTGATGTTATTTTAAAAAAATGTGAAATTGTCACTACAGATTAGTAAGTAAGCTCAAGTAAACCCCTGCTTACCTTCTTATTGGGTAATCTAACACTAGATTTGCCCAAGGTCAATGGCAGGATCAAGACAAGCAACCCAGGACTCCTGAACCATAGCCTCTTGTTCTTCTCACGATAACCTGCTGTCATATTACGATAGGTCCCCCAGGAGTGGCACTGCTCTGCCTGGATCTGCCAAAATGTTTTGATATAATCCTCTAGACGGTGGTTCTTAACCATAGCAATTTTGCCCCTCAAGGGATATTTAGTAATATCTGAGACAATTTCACTTGTCACAACTAGGGGGAGGGTGGGAGTGGTGCTATTGGCATCTAATGGGTAGAAGCCAGGATTAAAAAATGAAACAAAAGAAACATTGCAGTAGGGTCAATTCCCACTCACAGCAAGCAACTTTATAAAGCCTGGAGTTGCTGGTAAATATCCTACAATGCACCAAACCCAAACTAAACTCACTGCCATCGAATAGGTTCTGACTCATAGTGACCCCCATTGGGTTTCCAAGGTGGTAAATCTTTACTGAAGTAGATTGCCCCAATTTCCTTCCACAGAGTGGCTGGTGGGTTTGAACCACCAACCGTCTGGTTAGCAGTCAAATGCCTTAGGCACTGTGCCATCAGAACTCCTTACAATGCACTACAACATAGAACTGTGTTGTTGTATGCTGTCGATTCTATTCTGACTCAGTAACCCTATAGAACAGAGTATAACTGCCCCATAGGGTTTCTAGGTTGTAATCTTAGGAGCTCTGGTAGCATAGTGCCTAAGGCACTTGACTGCTAACCAGAAGGCTGGCGGTTCAAACCCACCAGCCACTCCTTGGAAGGAAGGTTGGGCAATCCTACTTCCGTAGTGATACTGCCTCAGAAACCCAAGGAGGGGTCACTATGCGTCGGGGCTGACTCGATGGCAAATAACAACAACAACAACATCAAATCTTTATGAGAGCAAATCACCAGGTCTTTTCTCCTATGGAGTGGCTGGTGGGATTGAACTTCTGACTTTAGGTCAGCAGCCAAATGATTAACCACAGGTCTCCTAAACAGAATTATCTAATCCCAACATCAATAGTGCCAAAGTTAGGTCCTGCCTCCTGCAAGTACACACTATAGGATTATACTTTTAAGAGTGGTGAGGAGGAATATTAATAACTTGCCAGGACAGCAGGCATAACTCAAAGTTGTCCCAAGTTAACTGGGATGTAAATTCACCCTAATTACAGAGCCCCAGGATAAAGTCCAAGGTCAATTCTCTGATAATCACTTGGGGAATGCTAATTGCCCAATGAGCAATTTGATGACAAATAATTTACCAATTTAGTTTGCCACCAGTACCAGTCCTGGGCTACCAACATGGATAAGAGAAAGGGTGGAGCCACGGAAATGATCCTAGATGAACAATGGAGCAGCAGCAAAGCATTGCAGAGAATCTGTGACAGAACTGGAGCTTGCAAAAAAAAATAAAATCCTCAATGGCTTAGTCGCTTTGGCATGTCTCAACCATGGGGAAAGGGGGGGTGTAATATGAAGCCGCTGTGGCCACCTGGTCATGTAACCATGGAGCCTGGGTTTAGGTCTTCTACATGAAACCCCAGAGTAAAGCATCCTGCATATAAATATCACCGTATTTCCCTTAATTTGTCACCATTCTAAACCCACAAATTTACATCCAAAGCACTGAAAAATTTGTGACAATAAAAGAAAACACTAGAAAATCTACATCTTTAGCTTTTTCCTATGTCCCTTGGTTAACTATTAGTCACTATGATTCACATCACATTTACTAAATATATGGAGACAAATGAAGGCTGCCAAAACCAAAATGAAAATACTAAAGAAAAACACAAATATGCCAATCCATGCTGTAACATACATTTAAGAAGTTTGAATGTGAAGGAGAAGAAAGATATCAACATATAGAAATGCTGAAACCAAAGAACATTCGTGCAGAACGGAATCTTAGTGCCAAAAATCCACACAGATGGTGGAGAAGCCCAACGAGGTAGAGAAGTCAGCCTTGAGAAAGAAGGAAAGTATGTTTGAGGAGGAGTGGACAGCTATGGCAGCCCCTGGTCCACTGGCCCATGAGACCCATGGGCCATACCACAGCCCTCTGGGTTTTCTTCCCACTCTTGAGCAGGTTTGGCCCACTGTTCACTCCACCCCACCCCAGAGACAAGGAGGAAAATTTTGACTTCCTTTATCCTCGGTCATTTTACATTGCAGTTGGGGTAAAGCTCTCTCTTTATGTATTTTTCTTTTTTTTTGTCAGTAATTTTCCATGTTTCAGAAGCCTTGACTGTACTAAGGATAGACTTAAACCCAGCGTGAATAATAGTCATTGGCTTCAGGGTCATCTGATTCTATGTGGCTACAGATTAAGCCATCAGGGGCTGCATGAATCTTTCTCATGTTGACTAAATACATTCATTTAGAGTTTTGAAGTCTCCAGCTAACCTACATTTGAATGGCCAAGATTCTTTTTTCCTACGTCCTGAGCCAAACCAAGTGGCCAGCTCATCCTTATCTTGTGTATTCTTGCTTTCAGTTTTTTTTTTTTAAATCTCTTACCTAATAAGATTTTCATGCCATAATATTTAAAATGTGAATATGTTCAATAACTTACAAATCCATTTTCAGCAACATATGTAGGCAGCCTGCTAACAAGAGTCCAGTGGTCTGCAGGAGGTGTCCTTTAGGGAACATGGAAAAAAGAAAACCATTGTTATACAGACAAATGCACTGTGTATAAAGATAAAAATGTCAACTCACGTAGCCACTTCATTTCAGTACTCACGGAATCACTTTGATCTCTTCTTTTCCATGTAAAATGTAATCAATGATTTTATAAAAGATGATTTCCTAAGAGGAAAAGGGGAGATGATGAGAATAATTTTATTTCCCAAAGGAAACATTTTTCATTGGGGAATTTTTACTTTAAAACATCATTTCATAACTCTTTCAAGCACATAGTATCTTGTTTCTTAACCATATTTTTTTCTGCATAACATAAATTACCAAGCTTATAATTAAACAGGAAATATTATTAGCTGTTTAGCTGCATGCATAAGGCTATTTAACTAAATTTAGTTTTTAAAAGTTGAATTCAACCAAAGAGCTTCGGGGGGAATCTTTTGCTTTCAAATCACTAGCTAGTCTGTGAGTTTGTTTTTATTTTTAACTGACCCCTTTCTGTTGTCCAGAAATATTTGAAATTGATAACTTCACTTGAATGAACCATGTCATTTCTCAACCTTAGTTAATGCTTCCCCTTCCTTCTGTACAATGAGAACATATATCTCCTTCCAGCACTGGCTAATCTGAACAGGTCCCTGAGAAACAGAATCCAGCTGACACATTGTCAAGGCTGGAAGAGAACTAATCCATCTGTTACATTTGGCAGATGAAGAACCTGAGGCCTGAACACAATCCATCCGTAACCTTCCCTTTGCTGTCCTGTGTGCTGGGACATAGTGGGGAGTAAAAAAAGCAAGCTTTCTGCAGGAAAGTAAACCTAACCCAACTGCTTCCTGGAGATTTCAATTCTGAAGAAGGGCCTGAGTACCAGTGTGTTTAAAAAGTTGCACAGCAAGTTCTGATATAGTCCTCCCTCGTGGGAACCTCTGGTCTACCAAGGCCTGGCTCTATAGGAAATGAGATGGACAGGTAAAGGCAAGCACTACCCAGTTGGCTTGGGGCATAGCTGGGACTTGACCCTCAAACTGCTTGTCCAGTGCTCTTCCTGCTTCTCCAGGGTCCCACAGAAAGTTATCGAACTAGAACCCAGGCCATACTTGTTTCTCTATGCATGAGTGCCTAGTAATTTTAGTACCTGAATACCACACAGGTGTCAGCAAGGAAGACATTTGCACTTACTCTGCCGTCTGGTGTCTTTGGACCTTTGTAAGGCTCAGCTTCTCCAAGCTTGACTGGCCATTCATCATAGAATTCCTGGAGGAAATTAGATTTAACATTATATTATGTTTAATTATACTGTGGTTTTACCATAGTATAATTAATAATTTATATTTATTTTAATGTTATACAGTATCCAATAGATCATTATTATTTAATTTAATATAAATAAATAATATATAAATATAGAATTTATATTATATGAATAATTGCATTCATATTATATAAAACAATATTATTTAATTTATTTATATTTTATTATAATGTCATTATATTATATTATTAGCATATTTCCTGGAAGAGATTATATTTAACTATATTTATACTCTATCCTATTTAAACTGTTCTACAATACTACCTTATGTGAATTTTATATGTTTTCATATTTTATGTTAAAATACGTAAGTTAAGCATTTTAGCACTGGGAAGGCACTATGATTCCCAGAGATACTGCTAATTAACTTGTGACTGCGAACAATTCATTTACATTTTTTCCATCTGTAAACTTAGGGATAATAATAGGACTTATACTATTAAGTCACTGTGACAACTGAGTGAATAAAACATATAAAACACCTCTCCTGACCTATAGTTAAAAGTACTCAATGTACAGCAGCTCTTTTATAAACACTGAAGCTAAATCCAGGTAGGGTAAGAGGCAAGAGAAAAGTCATACAGACTGGCTAACACTTTTGGTTGCCTTACCCAGCATTCATTCTCCCCATCTTCCTTGCTGACTGAACCTACTGCGTGTTAAGACACTTTTTATATAGAATATCTCTGTTCCTTACAACTAATTAGAGAGATGTACCTTCTTAGGGAGGAGGAAACCAAGAATCAGGGAGGTAAAAACACTTGCTGGATACATATAGCTAGAAAGTGGCAAAGTCAAGATTCAGACCTAGATTTTTTTTTTTTTGCTCCAAAATGTATGTTTTTGCCTCTGTGCCATGCCTTCTTGGTACTGGTTCTTGTGACCTACCATGAGTGACTATTTAAATAGTTTATCCATTTTTTAATGTATCACATTTCATGTATTTTATAGGCAATTTTAGATGAACAAGGACCTTCTCTTTGGTCATGTCCAGCAGTCCAATGGAGTATCGTTCACAGTTGAGGTATGTTCTAACTGTGTAGAGTGCTTTGTGAAACTGTCGTTCAACATCTGTGAGCTCTTCAAATACTTTATTGGCTGACCACATAAGGATCTGAAAGTAGGTATTAAAAGGAAAACAGAACAAAACACACAATAAAGAGAGAAAGCAACACAGAATGATAGAGCATTAACCAGAAGAAAACATGAAGTGCATCAAATAAAGTGAATACATATTGCTAATCTAAATGCAATTACATTTTGCACATATATATATCCAAAAAATTAGATTCTCTACATGGGATGATTTAGACAGACCATTGCAAGCCCATTTGTGAAAGAGATGAAGCTGTGGTTGGTCCCCACATCCAAATATTTTGGCTCCAAATGGGAAGTTTCTGGAAATGGATGCAAGACAATTGGCCAAGGGTCCAGTATTGGTGGCCCACTGGCTCCTGTTGGCCCTTGGAGAGAGAATGCTACATGCCTCCTTCAATGCATTCTGGGCCAGATCCATTGCCAAAGAGCCCATTCCAACTGATAGTCACCCTATAGGACAGAGTAGACTGCCCATAGGGTTTCCAAGGCTGTGAAGCTTTACAGACGCACACTGCCATATCTTTCTCCCGCAGAGTGGCTGGTGGCTTAAACCACTGACCATACAGTTAGTAATCAAGTGGTTTAGCACTGTGCCACCAGGGCTCCTATCCTGGACTAGTCAGAGGTAAATTTACCTGGAAAGTTAGACGGGGAAGGGACCTTGGAAGTCTTCCATCCGAATTTCCCCTCCCCCCCTGAATTGATGAGGAAACTGCGGTCCAGAGAACGTCCAGACTTGGTTATCTTGTGTTCTTTTTCCCTCTGCCTCACAAAGGCAACAGACTTCAGAGGAGTGATTTACTATGTACCAGGAACTGCTAAGTGTTTTACGTGAACTAATCTATTTAATTACCACTTAATAGTTACAACAACCATATGAGGTGAGTACTATTATTATCATCACTATCTCATAGCTGAAGAAACCAAGGTCACCCAGGACATAGACTGAAGAAAGCCAAGCTGGTTGCACATATAGATGGAGTAATTATAGTGGAAGTTCAGGGGCTACACCGCACCCCTTGTGCATATTAGCATTTGCAATTAATTCCTGAGACCAATTGTTTCATTCCACAATGAGATTGGGCATAAAGTGAAAATTAGCCCAAGAGCAGAACCTGTTGTGAAAGTGGAACTTCGTGGGGGAAGGGAAGGAGACCACAGGAGGACTCCTGGGGCAGAGCATTGGGGAATCCACTCCAGGTGGCTCAAACGCCCTCGAGGGCAGGGGAGTGGTCTGGGTTTGTTGCCTCTGGACCTCCTGTGCCAGAACAGGCCAGCGTGGAGTGATTGACGTCACCTTGCCTTTACCTGGCTTCTTCGGGATTCAACATTGTATAGGTAGTTGGTATGATGCAGCTTTAGGATGACAGAAACAAAATCGAGGTACTTAGAAAAGACCTACAGGTAGCAGAGAAAAGCAAATCATGATTGTGACATCTTTTCCTCCATTATACAAATAAACAAAATTCCTGTATCCCCGATTGGAGGCCCAGGGTTGACATTACCTCTTCATCCTGTTGGGAAAATTCAGATGCATTTACTTTGTTGAGTGCCATAATCACAGCAAGAACCTCCTTGCCCATCACAATCGGGGTTGCCAGCAGGTTCCTAGTGATATATCCAGTTTGTTTATCCATATAGTCCGAAAAATGACTGTTCTGAAAGAAACATTCACGTCTTGGCCAAAGCAGCACCCAACTACAGGATGATAGACCCAGGAGTGTTGACAGATCATTCTTCTGAGTCCCCACACCATACGGGTAGATCAGCGGGGCCCCAGCACAGGGGGATTGACCACAGTCCTACCCCACACCACCATTCCATGACCAAGAAAATGCGGTACCAAGGGAGCCAAATGCAGGCCCTCACCCCAAATCTCCTTTGTGTGGTTCCCAAGGTGGAAAAACAACTGGCTATTAGGAAATAGCATCACATAATGGCTAAGAAGGTTCTGGAATCAGACTTCCAGGGCTGAAAACAGACCCCATCTTTGCTAGCTGTGTGATCTTCAGCATATTACTTACCCTCTTTCTGTCTTTGTTTTCTAATCTGATAATGGGGATAATTCTAGGATGTTTGATGTGAAGATGCATAGAGAACTTAGAAAAATGTCTGGCATTCAGTGGGGGCTTAATAAATACTGAGAAGAGAAACCTGGGACATTTTCAGGGACCTCTCGGATGACAAGTAGTTCTCTCTTTTCTTTATGGCAGTTAAAGTATATATAACAAAACATTTGTCATCTTAACCATTTCTAAATATACAATCCAGTGAGAAGTAGGTCTCGTTTACAAGTGCCGTTCTGCTTCTAAGTTCTAGGATTTTTTTTTTTTTTTTATCAGTTCTAATCATTGGAGAATGTGGATGTCTTTGTCTGGAAGTAGGCTTCCTACACCCAGGAGGACCCTTCCTCCTGAGGCCCCTCCCTCTGTCTCATGCTCTCAAAAGTCACATTTCTTTCCTGAAAACTTTTCCTGTTACTCTTTCTCTCTGTTTCCTGTAGCATCCTCAGTGTGGGATGTCCCCAGACTTCCTTAGGTTCTTTCTCTTAATCTATTGCTTGCCAAGGCTGGCTCACACTCTGTTTTCCTCCTAACCTATTATTCATTAAGCATCATAATCACCTTCACTTACACAGCAATCCTGAGCATTAAAGGAATAATGAAAATGCCAGAAACATACACCATGGATTGAAGCCAGTCAGCATTTCTTTGCAAACACATTTCACTCTGCAGTTTCAAAACTTGATGCCAACTTTATTTCAGATTCTAAAGCACAAAGAAATGTTCTTAAGTGAAACTGGCTGTTTTGAGAAAAGGAATTATCAGCTTCAAAATTTAATGCTTTCTTTTTCCTTGCATCTGAAAGCCCTAAAGACACTATCTGTCAAATTACAAGGTAGTGGATGGAGTTGACAGGAACACGGGAGATGAAGCTTTCTAGGTTTGCATTTTGAATTTTCACCAGTGCAAGCAATTCTTACTGAAGTTTCTTTTGGTCAGTTCTGTGTTTCTGTGATCCTTCAAAGAATCCCCCTGAACACAGCTGGAAAAATATTTAGAGTGGCAAGACACCTGGATGCCTCACCTTCTCTTATATTGGCTAAATTCTGATTAAATACTGCTAACTCTTGAGTTCAGGAGGCAGAAAAAGAGAAGGGAAGGAAGAGAGAGGAGGAAGGAAAGGGAACCATTAGGACCCAGCCAATCGTTGAACATTTACACTTCCTGTTCAACCACGGTCCAAATCAGTACCACCCATATAGTTAACTGACAGATTTCCCAATTGAAAGCTTGAGTATCCTTCAATTTCCTGTTATTCAAAGTTTTCCTACCTTTAGCCACAAAGAAAAATGAATTGCCAATACACCTTGCAATGTGAATGAACCTGGAAGACATTATGCTGGACAAAGTAAGTCAATTACAAAAGGACAAATAGAGTATGATCTCACTTTTATGAAATGACAGGAATAGGTGTATGTACAGAGACCAATGCTCATCAGTGGCTACCATGGGTGGAGGAGGAATCATTCCCTAGTTAGGAGTCACTTTTTTACTTATGGTGATGGGAAAGGTAGCACTGAGTGTGCGTTAAGTATGCACACCTTGGCTAATACAGTAGTTGAGGCTACTAAGTTGTATACAAGAAAAAGGATGTACTAGTAAAAGCTATGTTATATATAATTTTACAACAACAACCAAGAAAAACGTAGATAGATAGATGGTAGATAATAAAACAAATAAGGGCTATAGATGCTGGTACTTCTTCGACATAACAAATCACCTCATAACATAATCACCTTTGAAGATTTAGGGTCATAGTCTCATGGGACAATTAAGTCAATTGTTATAATAATGAAAACCCACTGTTGTGGAGTCGATTCCAACTCCTAGCAGCCCAGTAGGCAGAGTAGAAATGCACCATAGGGTTCCACGGCCATATATCTTTATGGAAGCAGACTGCCTCATCTTTCTCCTGCCAAGCAGCTGATGGGTTTGAACTGTCAACATTTCAGTTCACAGCCTAGTGCTTAACCATTGTGCCACCAGTCTTCCTTAATTGACATAATACAGTTCATAAAGTTTATATTCTACATCTTAGTTTGATGAATAGTGTCTGGGGTCTTAAAAGCTTGCAAGCAACCATCTAGTATACATCTATTGTTCTCTATTTATTTTGAGTAAAAGAGAAAGAAAGAAACCCAAGAATCAGAGAAAGAATGGCACTACAGGACCAATGGTCTCCATGAACCGTGACCTCCTCTATCTTGAGACCAGAAAAACTAGATGGTGCCCAGCTACAACTATTAAACATTCTAATCAGAGACACAATAGATGGATCCTGATAGGAAGGGAGAAAAATGCAGAACAGAACTTCAAATTCTCAAGGAATCCAACTTACTGGATTTATTGAGGCTGGAGGAATCCCTGGTACTATTGCCCTGAGATACTCTTTAAACTCTAAACTGAAACTACCCACTGAAGACACCCTTTAACTAAATAGTAGGTTAGCTTAAAATGTCACCCTTGAGTACTGCACTCAAGTTATCTAATGAATGGAAATGGGGAATCCAGGGAGGAAGTGGGAAAAGTGCTGTCATATCAAAGAGATTACAACCAATGTCAGGAAACAAAATGTATATTAATTGTTGAGTGGAAAACTAATTTGTTATGTAAACTTTCACCCAAACTACAATATCTATATACTTATATGTATATATATGAGACTAAGGGAGCTCTGGTAGCATAGTGCCTAGGGCATTTGACTGCTAGCTAGAAGGCTGGCGGTTCAAACCCACCAACCATTCCTTGGCAGGAAGATTGGGCAATCTACTTCCGTAGTGATACCACCTTGGAAACCCAAGGAGGGGTCGCTATGAGTCGGGATTGACTCCATAGCAGTGAGTTTGTTTTTTTTGGTATATGAGACCAAATGGACAATGATCATTCTAAAGCCTAGACAGATGAGAAGGTAGCGGGTAGTGAGAGTAAGTTAATGAGAATGGAACAACCAGAATAGAAACAATTTGTGTTTGTCAACAGAATGTTGACACAATGTGAAGAATGTAACCAATGTCATGAACATCATGGGTAGAAATTATTGAATGGAACCTTTTCGCCTTGTATGCTTTCACCAAAAATACAATCAAATGTTAATTTAAAAAAAAAAAAAAATTCCTGCCTTTAACCTGTTTTAAGAATGCAATAATGATTGAGCCTTTTTCTGTTGCCCACTCCCCAGCCTTCAAGCCTCCCTCAGCAAAAAAAAAAAAAAAAAACAGTAATATCCTTATAGCTATTATTTGTTGTGCACCTACTTGGAGCCTGGCCCCTTATGTACATTTAATCTGTGCATACGCTCTCTCCGTTTCTCAGGTGCAGAAACTCCATCCATCACATAGCTACTAAGTCTCAGACCTGGATCTGCATTCACATCTGTCTGATGCCAAAGCCCTTGCCCTACGTCATTTGCTCCCATTTCCACCTTGATGGATCTCAAGGTCAGAGGTATTAGTCTCTGCATCTTTGTCTAGATGTGAGAAGTTTTTCCCTCACCTGTGCCCCTACTGCTAGCCAGAGAGAAGCCATATGTGATCTGTGATGTGGTAGAAAGAGGGACGACTCAGAAGACCCAAGTTATGGTCCCAGACCTGCCACTTCCTGCCTTAACTGACACTGGGCAGATCCCTTTACATACAGGCTGGAAATAAGGACGTGGTCTCAAAGTCTTCCTCCTCGCTTTGTCAGAATCAAGTAAGATGGAGAAATCAGTTACAGAAAGTCAGTTCTGAGCAAAGGTTACCCCTTGCATGGCAGAGTAGAACTGTGCTCCTCAGGGTAGTCAATGGCTGATTTTTTGGAAGTAGTTTATTAGCCCTTTCCTCGGAGCGGACTGCAACCTTTCAGTTTGCAACCAAATACATTAACCGTTTGTACCACACAGGAACTCCAAGAATGAGAAAAACTCAAAACTTCACTGCCATCAAGTCCATTTTGACTCACAGTGACCCCTCCTTGGATTTCCGAAGTGGTATCTCTGCAGAAATAGATTGCCCAGTCTTCCTTCCGAGTAGTGGCTGGTGGGTTTGAACCGCCAGCCTTCTGGTTAGCAGTCAAATGCCTTAGGCACTACACCACCAGAGCACCCCCAAGAATGAGAAAGTGCTTTATAAATTGTGAAGGACAATGAAAAGGTGAAGAACTGATCAGAAATTTCATTTAAATGTTGGTTTCTGTCTTCATGGAAGATTTGAAAGCAGCATCTAGAGTGTGCCAACATTACCAGAAAAGTGGGGCAGGATGGAAAGAGGGGGTAAATGCAGAGTCAGGAAGCCTTGAGTCTTTTCCAGGCCTTCCTTTTTGCTGACCCTTACCATGGGCTCTGGGGGAGAACCACAGCCTCTATGTCCTCAGTGTCCACTGCCAAAGGAAAGACTTGAACTAAATAATTTATAAGCCTTTTTCATCCTTGGGAGCTCTGGTGGCATAGTGCCTAAGGCATTTGACTGCTAACCAGAAGATTGGTGGTTCAAACCCACCACACATTCCTCAGAAGGAAGACTGGACAATCTACTTCTGTAGAGATACTGCCTTGGAAACCCAAGGAGGGGTCGCCATGAGTCAGATCTACTCAACAGCATTGAGTTTTGTTTTGTTTTTTTCATCTCTATTATTCCACAGTGTGTTTGAAATTGACTTCCTCCTACTACATCCACTCACCCTCTAGACGGTGGTTTCCATTACTAGCTGCATATTAGAATCACCTGGAGAGCTTTTAGATGCTAATGCCTAGATCCCAACCTCTGACACACATGGACCATCATGAGTTGGGGTTGTCATGAGTCAGAGTTGACTCAAGGACAACTGGTCTAAGTGGTAGAAATGGAGAACAAACGAGGTTCCTCAACTCTCATCAGAGCTCAGGAGCATGACTATCTTTACCAACACACACACCCTTTGTCCCACCTAGAGCAGCCAGGAGTCCTCAAGGGGAGGGAGAGATGTGATGCTTCCATGAAGTGCCCTGCCTATCCAGATATGCTCACCTTTGATGGAAACAGACCAAGGCCCCCAGATTTTTTAAGCAGTTCCATTATAAGTCATGAGTCACTTAACCTCCACAATATGTTCTATGAAACAGGATGTTATGTGATTTGGATGTTGTGCTAATATGCTTAAGTTGTGAGCAATAGCATTCATCTGGTGATGCAGTGCCTAAGGCATATGACTGCTAACCCAAAGGTTGATGGTTCAACCTACCAGCCACTCCATGGAAGGAAGATGAGGCAATCTAAATCCGTAAAGATTTATAGCCTTGGAAACCCGATGGGGGTCACTATGAATTGGAATTGACTCAATGGCAGTGGTTAGGTTTTTTTGATTGTTTAATAACCTTTTGTTTCATTTCCAAATTGATACTTTTTTTTTTCCCCCCTCTTGCTGCTGCTATCACTAGCACTGGTTTTGTTGCATTTGGGAGTCATGAGACACTTCCTGGTAATATTTTGCAGAGATAATGCTACAACACTCAAGAGATGCATGATACATGAGATTGGATGCTGCTACTACCAGTCGAAGCATGCACTGTTTTGTGTAAACTTGTTACTTGTAAGTGGGAGAGTCATATTAAAATAGCAATAGAAGGTACAGTGCATACATAAGCCAGTAACATAGGCGTTTATCACCACTATCACGTTTATCATCACTATCAAGACGTATGTGTTATAGGTTATATTTGTACTATACCAGTATATGCCTGCCAATGCGATAGTTTTGTATACAAGAGACATGAGATACACATGTTGTGTAGGAAACTTTTGCACTCTTCCATCCAGTTATGTCCACCATGTCCTGTTCTCTGATCGAGATTCTGAACTGTTATAACCTTATGGGACCACAGATGTATATGAGATTGGACATTGCCCAAACAGAGTTTATGTGGTGCATGTTGTTGTGTTGTTAGGTGCCAGTGAATCAGTTGCAACTCGTAGTGACCTTATGTACCACAGAATGAGAACTGCCCAGGCCTGCACCACCCTCACAATTGTTGCCATGCTTGAGCCCCTTATTGCAGCCACAGTGTCAATCCATCTCACTGAGCGCCCTTTTTCTCTGACCCTTTACGTGTAGTGCATGAGCGTATAATTTTTCTCTTCAACATGGAAAACCGGGCTCGTTAAAGATGCATTACAGCAGAAACCATTTTACTCACTTCTTTTTAAAAAATTCAGAAAAAACATCTTGGATATCGCTTTCTTAAGTGTGATGCCCTAGTAATTGTGGAGAGAGCCTCAGGTGAAGTATATTCACAAGAGAAGACCTCAGAGTGTGTGGACACAGCCTCCTAGTTGGGGTCCAGAGAACTTTGCCTTAAGAACACATGCCAGCTTAATCACCTGAAGTAGCTGCAGGCTGCCTCAAAAGCAAACTGAAACCGGCTTAAACTCACTTAAGGGAGGGTTGTAAAGGACCTGTCAGTATCCAACAGCAACCCTTGCACCCGAGGGGTTTCCTGCGGTTGTTTGCTGAATGTTGCTAATGTTTGCTAACATCTGCCCCTTCTGGGTCTGGGCAGCCCTCCTCCCATAATCCGCTTCGGGAGGCCTGTAGGGATTATCTTCCAGCCTCTCCAGCTGCCTCTGCTTGAGCCCTGGGATCCTCCCCTCCCCCACCCCACCCCCGTTTAACTCCATAACGTCAGGATCCAAACAAACAAAAATCTCCCTGCCATTCAGTCGACTCATAGCGACTCCTCCCTGGGTTTCTGAGGTGGTATCTCTATGGAAGTAGATTGCCCAATTTTCCTTCCCCGGAGTGACAGGTGGGTTTGAACCTCCAGCTTTCTGGTTAGCAGTCAAATGCCTTAGGCTTTATGCCACCAGAGCTCACTTCTCCCTTTTTCTTCATTTAAAAAGAAACAAAAGTAGTTGCTGCCTGGTTGACCCTGACTCATGGTAACCCGGTGTGTGTCAGAGTAGAACAGGGCTCCGCTGGGTTTTCAGTGGCTGAGTTTTCAGAAGGAGATCACCAGGCCTTTCTTCTGAGGAACCTCTGGATGGACTCAAACTTCCAACCTGTAGGTTAATGGTTTGCACCACCAGGGACTCCTTTTCTTCATAGTAATTCACAGGCATGGGATGCACCATGTAGAAAAAAAGCCCAGAAGGAGAAGCACCCGGCTTCAACCCATGGTAATCGCTATTGTTATATGCTGTCGAGTCGAACCCGACTCATAGCGACCCCTCCTTGGGTTTCTGAGGCAGTATCACTGCGGAAGTAGATTGCCCCATCTTCCTTCCGAGGAGTGGCTGGTGGGTTTGAACTGCCATCCTTCTGGTTAGCAGTCAAGTGCCTTAGGCACTATGCTACCAGAGCTCCCATGGTAATCGCTAAGTGGAAGGATGATGGGTGATTTGCATTGCATTTTCTCCTTTTTGTTCATTTGTATTTTATAAATTTTCCACAATGAACATATATTGTAGTGGCAAGAAGAAAAATTAAACTTCCCATTTTTAAGAGAGCATAAGCATGCTTTGCATTTGTGCCCTGTGCTGTTGGTCTTGAAGAGAGGCCACATGACTGGAATTCATTCCTGATAGCCCTGTGTTTTATGAAGGAGTGTGTGTGTGGTAAACTTGCACTTAACCACCACCTAAATTCACGTTAGTGAGCTTGGTTTTTTGGCTTAAATTCATGTTTTTGATGATCCCAATTTGAACATCTGACCTTTCAAATGGCATCACTTTTCTTTTTGCACGTTGGATCTATAGATGATTCCATTTATAAGCCAATCTACTCCAAAGAACTGAGTCTCTTCAGAGGATTGGGAATGAGTGATGCAGGGAGCAGCTGATAAATCTTGGGTCCTTGGCTGACCTCTCCAGGGGTGGGGGTAGGGACTTGCTTTGCTGGTGTTGTTCAGAAGGGACAAGACAGTCTTGTTCAGAGACACAAGACTAGGAGATGTAAAGGAGTAAAAACCAAACTCACTGTCGTGGGGTTGGATCTACTCATAGTGACCCCTCCTTGGGTTTCCAAGGCACTATCACTACAGAAGTGAATTGCCCAACCTTCCTTCTGAGGAGTGGCTGGTGGGTTTGTGAAACATTATACGAGACATGCTTATACCAAAAAATTATTCATGTTTATCTGAAATTAAAACTTAACTGGGTATCCTGTATTTTCATTTACTGAATCTGACATCCCCAGGCCTGGATGCTCTTCCTCTCCTCTGTCCCCAAGTTACGGCCAAACCAATGCCACAAGATGGCATCTTTCCCATGGGTTCCTCCCTGACCACACTAAGACCTCTGCTCTGCCCCACTTTCTTGAGGCCACCTACCTTTTTCACATCTGGGACATTAAGGGCTTTCTTTGTGTGAGCAACCCAGCCCACGATTCCGATGTCCAGTGGAAACACAACTTCTCTATCAGGGATCACAAAGTTGTCCTCAAACTTGGAGGTTGGGGTGACGTTCAGCAGCTTGGAGGCCACCTCTGGTGTGCCATTGCGTGACCGGCATATGAACATGCTGCAGCAGTCAGCCCGCAGCAGCCAGGCCACCCTCTGCAGGGCCCTGTGTGCCACCGGTTCCATGCTACCTGCCGCCTCCTGCACTGCCCGCAGCAGCTCCAAGCACACGGCTGACCCCTCCACCTGTGTTAGCTCAGCAAAGGAGGCGCTGCCCTTGATGGACAACGGGCTGTTTTGGAAGATTTCTCCCAGTACTTCCACCCGCAGCTTCTTGTCAAAGTACTCCTTGGCAAAACGAGGGTTCTCCTCGAGGTATTTCTCTACAGTGTCTCGGCTGATCTCACCCATGGTGTGGCTTGCTTAGCTGGTGTTGTTCAGCCCTCAGAGTGTTACCTGAGGAAGAGAGCCAAGAAGGAAACACATCCTGGTCAAGATGATGGAAGAAATTGCAACTGGTACCCCATAGAAACCCCAGAGGTCAGATAGAATGGTGACTTAGGAGCTCTGCAGCTGCCAGAAGGTCTTGGGATGTGACAGAAGGTCCTGGCTTAGGGTGGGATTCAGGAAGCAGAGGATTAAAGAGTTGTTCAGGGCACTAAATCTCTAAGCATTATTAGATTGTAAGTCCTCAGAGAATCCTCAGAGCATCTTATAGATCAGCCAAGCAAAGGGCAAGTTGAGGTGTCTATTGCAGACAGCAACTGAACATTGCTGCTTTTTGCAGCAATGAAGAGTCATTGACAGACCCGTAATTACATCACATAAGCACGAACGGAAAACTGGACTTGTTCTGTCATGATAGCTGCATGCAAGTGAAACTGCTTAAACTTCAGAAGAGTTTTAAAAGAACAAACCTTAGACTGGCTATTGGAGAAGTGAACATGACAAAACATTTCCCAGTGACTCAAACCTAATCAATCCACAACTTAAGCAATAATCCTTGTCAAGATAAGAGATTGCAAAAAGACAACCTGCACAGCTGCAAACTGGGTTTTCCTGCTAAGTATATTACTTTGGATTTTGTTTTCAATAGTAATAGTCAGACATTATGCATTTTTGCTCAAAGGCACAATCTGCTTGAATCTACTGGATGATAATTATCTTGTTTGTTGCTAGGATCTTCAGTATCTCAGGGGCTTCTGGAGTGGAAAGAGCACTTAACTGCTGCTTTGTTTTGTTTAACGTTCAGTTTATTAAGCTTTTACACCTATTAAGCATATTTTCCCAAATATTTAAACACTATTAAGCAACTAATAAATCAAGCTACACATTTCATAAACCAATTTTCTTGATTTCCTTAGTCAAGGTCTTTTAAATATTTCTATAAAGCTGTAAGCCCACTATTCTTTTAAATTGAAGATACATATTAAATATTACAGTGACTCTAAATAGCACTGTATTCCTACATCCACATCTAGTTCAAAATATCAACCCTTTGGGGTTCATCTAATTCTCTAAACTTAATGCTTTACCTCACTAGAGTGACAATGATTTTATTAGAGGCAAAAGTGAGAGAGAACAATTGAAGTTGCAAGTTCTAAGTCATGGATTGAGAGTTTCTTGGTTAGAATTTGGTTTTCCCTGAGGAATGGAACTCAAACTGGTATTGATTGAACTATGTCCTTTCTTGTAATCCTGGTTGACTTAGCACCTCAAAGGGCCTCTTCGGGTGCACACCTTTTCTTGTGTTTTTTGTGTCACATCCAAGTTAAACCTCAGGAGGGTCTTCCTTGGGTTACTATTTACTCCATAACACCTTATTAGTATCTCATTATAATCAGAAGAAAAAGTAGAGGTTTCTCTTCAAGAGAAAGAAGTTGAATTGGCCAAGTCACCTCTCTTCTTGGACCACTTTGTTTGTCCATCATTGTCTTGTAACAGTTTGGACATTCTTTCCACCTGGTTATTTTGTGTGACCACAGTGCAGTACCTCATTCTTCCAAAAGTATGTACTACAGTTGGTTCTGACTCATAGTAACCCCCATTGGGTTTCTGAGGCAGTAAATCTTTATGGAAGTAGATTGCCCCATTTTCCTTCCGTGGAGTGGCTTGGTGGGTCAGAACCGCCAACCTTCTGGTTAGCAGTCCAATGCCTTAGGCACTATGCCACCAGAGCTCCTTGCTATACTCACAATTTCCTGATTCCATCCTTCCATTTCAAACACAAAAATAAAAATACATATCTGTATTTTATTGATATACACTTAGTGGAAAACCCAAAATACCCATTTATTTTAATACTTTCCTTCTTATAAAAATGAAAATTAATTAAAAAGTATATTCTATTGTTGTTGTTGTTGTTATGTGCCGTCGAGTTGGACCCGACTCATAGCGACCCCTCCTTGGGTTTCCGAGGCAGTATCACTACGGAAGTAGATTGCCCTGTCTTCCTTCCGAGGAGTGGCTGGTGGATTTGAACCACCAGCCTTCTGGTTAGCAGTCAAGTGCCTTAGCCACTATGCTACCAGAGCTCCCAATATTCTATTAGTCAGTCTTTAATTTTGTTTTTATAACAACTTGTACTTTCATTCATTTACTCATTTTTCAACAGATGTATTTTGACTGCCCATTACAGGAAAGGCACCATACTAGTTACCGTGGTTAACTTGAGACTTACCCTTCTCTGATTCTGCTCTCCTTCCAGTTATATGGTAGGATTATACTTCTCTACCTCCTCCTTCAGGGGGTAGAACCATCCATCTAGTTCTGGTCAATGGATTGTAGGCAGTTGGTGGAGCTCATATTATTTTCAACCAAATTGATGAAATTGACTGGGAGGTTTGTAACCACTCAAAAACTTCATTGAAAAGATTCATTTGACTCTTCCTACCTGAGAACACTGGTAGCTAACCTTTTCATTTTTCAACCATTCTGGCATCTTTTAAACACAGTCTGAAGATAAATGTTGCCCAGTTTCCTTGTTTCCCACTTTTCTTGGCCTCTCTGTTGGGATGTGGATGTAAATGTCAATTTGTACAAAATGAAGCTGGTTGGAAATACTTAATATTTATGAAGATAAGGACATCCATTTCTTGCATTAGCGCTTGTTTCAATTATGGTAAAACTTTTTCAGTATTTTCTAGGAGTTAGTGACTTGTTTGCTACCGTACTAGCTAAAATACTGCTGACCTTATATGTAATCCTCCAAACCTCATTATCTTAGGGCAATGAAAGCTTATTTCTCATTCACATACAACCAGTCACTGAAGTGGGCCCAGGCTGTTGGAGGGTCTGCCATCTTTCAACACATGGCTGCCAAAGTTGCTCCGGATATGGACAGCCAGCCAGCAGAAGAGAGAAGAGAGAACATGGAAGATTTGATAGGTAGCTTTTATGAGCCTTGTCTGGAAATGACAAATGGCACTTTTGTCCACATTTCATTGCCCACAACTTGGTATGTGGCTTTATAAAGCTGCAAAGGAAGTTTGGCAGTCTGTCAGCTCAGACAAAAAAATTCTACACTTCCTCAAAGAGTTCTACATTATGGAAGGAAATGCAAACTTTTTGACAAAAGGTTGGCCACCTCTGGTACAACTGCTACATTATGAGAAATTTTTTATTGGAAAAGTGAACTCTGACCAGGTCTTTTAAGACATGTTTATGAAGATATGTAAAAATGGTTAATTTCAGTTAAAGAAATTAAATTAACAATGATTGAGCAGGAGCTCTAGTGGCATAGTGCCTAAGGCACTTGACTGCTAACAAGAAGACTGGCAGTTGAAACCCACCAGCCACTCCTCGGAAGGAAGACTGGGCATCTATTTCCATAGAGACACTGCCTTGGAAACCCAAGGAAGGGTCGCTGAGTCAGATCCCACTTGACAGCAGTGAGTTAGTGATTGAGCACTTACTATGAGCAAGTCTCTTGGTAAGTCCTGTGGAAAAGGGAGGCAGGGCAGTGAATACTAAGATGAATGAAACATGATCTGTCTCTCCATGAAGTATGGAAACAAAATAAAATTTTGTGTACATTATATGCAATCCATAAGATGTAATTTAAAGCATAATTTTACTTATAGAAAAAAGACAAGAAAATTTTTGTAAAGAAAATATTTTGTTTTCTGATTAAACACTGTTACTGTAGAAAATTTGGAAAATACATCAAAGTACAAAGAAAAAAGACCTTAAAGTACTCATAATCTCATCACACGGCAATCACTATGGATCTTATTCCTTCTCATATTATATATATGTACACATTTGAAAAATTATTTTATGAGGATAAACTTCAAAGTACTCTACACACCTAAGTTAAAAACATCAGTTGACTTGTATTCACGTATGTGTAATCATGAAGAAATACGAGAAAGAATGCCAAAATAAACTGTTTGTCTTTGTTGGTATCTGGAACACCAGTGTTCATGATTCATCATTAAGAGAGAGAGGGAGGAGTGGTTTAGCCAACTTTTAAACACCTAACAAATAAATTAAAATGTGTCGCTGCAACAACAATCATCATAAAGATGAACTGAAATCTCCTACATTTGTTCAACACATGGTGTGTGCACAGGCCACCAAAATGTGTTCTAGGATAAGCGGTTGGGAGAGCCAGGAGAATTAGAACTTTCCTGACAGTAATAACTGTTCAAAGGCAATTAGGCTGAACCAGGGGCTTTCAGTCACTGAAGGCATTGGAGCAAAAGTTGGAAGACTTCTCAGCTGGAACGTCCAGGAGGGTATTCAAGTATCGGATGGGAAGTAGAGATGTCTTGAAGTCCTTCCTCATCTGAGGTGGACAGATATATACCACACTTATGGGCACACACATGGTCCCTGTGCAATGTGCTCTCAAGATCTATTTGAGCTGTTTGTGATTCTACATCCTGTGTAAAACTGACCCAACCACAAGATTCCAAGTTAGCTTTCCTAGCTCTGGGGCAGGAAGGAGTCACCTGTGTCTACGATGGTGCTCCAGAGACAGCTAAAATTCAAACGGGAGAAGCCAAGGGGGAGGGGAAAGTGGGGGCAGAGAACTAGTCAGGCAGATGTCCAAAGAGTTATAGGAAGGTAAGTGAAGCCACGGGTGTCTTTCAGGAGATGCAGAAATAGCTCCAATACCCTGTGAAGGGCTGGGTCTGAGGACTAAACAACTTTTTATTCTGACAACCATCCTTCTCTTCCTCACCCATTCTTATTTCAGGTCTGGCTGCGTTGGAAATGGTCCAAATTCATCTCTGTTCTTTCCAGTTGGGAGTCCCTAAGTGTTGACTGCTAACCAAAAGTTTGGAAGTTCAAGTTCACAAGAGGTGCTTTAGACTTTTTTTTTTTTTAAATCAGCCATTGAAAACCCTTGAAGCACAGTTCTACCCCGACACACCATAGGGTTGCCATAAATTGACGGCAACTGGTTTGGTTTTATTTCCAATTTGAGCCATGGAAACAGAACTGATATTGTATGGAAGGAATCTTAAAAAAAGATATTCCCTTGCTGTGTAACTACTTCTCATTCAGTCAAAAGGTGCATCT